GTATATGTAATACTATTATTATAGGTAGGAATATTTATTTCCATGGAAGGGTTCACAAGATGAGAACTGGAGAAACATAATGGCTAAGAAATAGAGTCCTGAGTTCGAATCTCATCTTGCCAGGAACTTACCAGGCAGCCTTTGATAGGGCCAAGGGGTCTTTCAGCTAGAGGCACCCTATCTGCAACATGGGCATAATGAGACCTGCTGTGGTAAGGATTGCTTTTTTTGTTGTTAATTGCTATCAAGTTACTTTTGACTTAAGGTTATCCTATAAATGAGAGAGCTTGAAACTTTCCTGCTGTGAGTTCTGCTCAGGTTTTGAAAATGCAGGGTTAGGAAATGAATAAATAGACATCTAATAAACAGATATTAGAGAGTACTAATAAATCTATTACAATCAATAATTATGACAATTAGTAATAATAAATCTGTTACGGTTTGCTTTAGACTGGTTTGTGATTCTGAACCTATATTCCTTTTTTTCCCTTGAGAAGCCAGAGCCATGGCTTCCTTAATTGGGTCAATCCAACTATATTGCAGGCTTCCTCTTTTCCTATTGCCTTCAATTTTTATCAAATTTTCTAATGAGTGGTGTGTTTTCATGATATGTCCAAAGTACAATAGCCTCACTTTAGTCATTTTGGCTTCCAGGGAGAGTTCAGGGTTGAATTGTTATTGGATCCCGTTGTGATTGTTGTTGTATGTCTTCATGTCGTTTCTGACATATGGCAACACTAAGGCAACCCTATCACATGGTTTTCTTGGCAAGATTTGTTCAGAGGGGGTTTGCCATTGCCATCTTCTGAGGCTGAGAGTGTGTGACTTGCCCAAGGTCACCCAGTAGGTTTCATGGACAAGTGTGGAATTGAACCCTGGTCTCCAGAGTCATAGTCCAACACTCAAACCACTACACCATGCTGGTTCATAACTGTTTACTCACAAGAAGATAAATGTTTTCAACACGTAAAAATATTGTGCAGATATTAATTATTATCGATTGATGCATTTTGTTGGGCTTTTGAAACAGGAAAGGAGTTAAATCTGTCCCACTAGTGTAGAGGAAGGAAAGAAATAATCTCATAAGAGAGGCTGGCATATTTTTGAGCCAAACTGAGCAGGGTTAGTGGGGGCAAATGCAGATGAAAACTGGAGAGGGGATGCTATTTGGAGAAAAGAAGTGTCAAGGAATTACTCAACCTTGCCACTTCTCCCCTGGCACTTCTAGTGACTTTTTCATCAGTAGGCATCCTTAGATCCCTGTGCCTTTGGTTTGGGGAGGAGGAAGAAGTGGTTGAGGAGCAACACAGGGAGAGATAGCAGGTGAGGAAAATCCATTCCTTCCATCCACCACTACCTCTGTCCAGATTATCTCTCCATTGTGTTTCAGTTATTTTGTGATCCAGTTTTCCAGACCTAGTTAGGTTGCTGAATGTGTAGTTCAGTTCATGTTAGAGGTAAGGTAGGCAAAGTTACTTTTTTGATGACAATTCCCAGAATTCCCCAGCCAGGGTATTCCTGGAGCTATATTCCACTGGTTCTGGTCAGTTCTTGTCAGTGGACTACTGACAGAATGTTTTTATTGATGTGCAAAAATTCTAATCCAATACCAGTCATATTTTGTGCAACTAAGAGTCTCAGGTGAGGATGTACATTCTCTATCCACATTACAGTAGGCCCTCCACATTCTCTGGGGTTAGAGGCACAGGACCCCTGTGAAAGTGGAAAACTTGCAAATAAAAACAAATCACACTACTTTTTAACCTGCCAGACCAGCTCTCTAGGAATCTCTAAGTCCTCTAGTACGACTCTATGGTCAACATCTGCCAAAAGTTGACCATAGAGTCATGCTGGAGGACTTATAAATGCTAGAAAAGTGTTTTCTCTAGTAATCTCTAGATCCTCCAGCATATCTTTGTGGTCAATTTCCAGCAGGATTTCTCTGGAGGACCTAGATATTCCTAGAGAGAACATATTAATCAAATCCACAAATAATCAAAAACGCAAAAGTCAAAGCCACAAGTGTGGAGGGCAGACCATAAATGTATATGTCAAAGACTCTGATGAGGAGTCTGGTGTGCATCTGGCTGTATCTCAAAGGAGACCAGGGATGACAAAAATGTACATGAGTAGTGTGAAGGATTGAAGCAGCTGTTCATTGAGATGATGTTAACTGCTCTTTTGCAATGTGGATGACGTTTTTTCTGTGACCTCCCTTGGAATATGTGCATGCTTATTCAAGATGTGAGAAGTGAAAGAAACAGAATCTCAGTTCAGTGAATAAGCTTCATCACTCTGACTCCTCCAAATTAGGTAATACAGATTTAAGATGCCAAGAAAGTTGTCAGACTTCTTAGATTAAAATTCATTATCATTTTCCTTTCCCAGGAAATGTATGATTGAATGATTAGATATGGTGCAACCTTATTAAGGAGGGCACCTTTTGATGGATGTCATGCGTAAGTATTGAGTTAAATCACTCATGTGGCTAGATTTAAAAATAGATTTCTTACCAGGAAGCATAATTGAATTCTGCTGCCTCCAATGAGTTTGGACAGTGGAAGCTGAACTGAGGAAAAATGGGTCTGTTCACTTCCCTAAGAAAGGCCCTATGACTCTTTCATACTGTATAATCATAACTCTGTGATTCCATTTTAACTGCCTTGGTTCTGTCCCATGGAATCTTGATATTTGTAGTTTAGGGAAAAGATGTGTTGAATTCCCAGCTGGAGAGCTCTGCAGTTTCACTAGGCTACAAACTCCAGGATTCCACAGGATGCAGCCATGACAGTTAAAGCAGAATCATAGTGCTACCTCTAGGTAGTGTGAACGAGCCCCTGATGATAGAAAGCCCTGTTTATTAGACACTCTATTTGCTTGTTGGCTTACTTTTATGAAGTATAGTCAGTTAGAATCATCCAGTAGTTACCATAAATTGGAAATGACTTCAAAGGGTATTCCCCATTACCCCATTACCATGTATAGATCTGAGAGCTGGACAGTGAAGAAAGATAGGAAGCAGATAGGAAGAAAATTAATTCATTTGAGATATGGTGCTGGAGAAGAGTGCCGAAGATACCAAGGATGGCCAAGAAGACAAACCAATGGGTCCTAGAACAAATCAAGCCTGACGTCTGGGGAAGATTTTAAAGAAGGGTAACTGGAGCTGATCTGGCTTAAATTCCTGAAAGGCACCAGATCCTGTCTGATTTTGGAAGCTAAGCAGGATCAGCCTGATCAATACCTGGATGGGAGGCTGCCAATAAATGCCAGATGCTGTAGGCTGTATTTAAGAGGAAGGAACCAACAAGGCCATGTGAGTATTCCTTGCCTAAGAAAACCCTATGAAATTCATGGGGTTGAGGCTGGCAATGTGGACATTGGCTTTAATTGCAGCGGGACAACAAACACTCTATTTTTTGTGGATATTGGAGTTGCCCCTCCCACACACACACACACACACCCAGAGTTGGTAGCTCTCTGCTAGACAGTGAAGAAGGTGGATAAGAAGAAAATCAATTCACTTGATAATGTGGTGCTGGAGAAAAGTGCTGAGGATATTGTGGACAGCCAAAAAGACAAACAAATGGGTCCATGAACAGCTCCCTGGAAGCCAAGATGACCAAATTGAGGCTGTCATACTTTGACCACATCATGAGAAGGCATGAATTACTGGAAAAGATGATAATGCTAGGAAAGGTGGAGGGAAGTAGAAAAAGAGGAAGACTGGATAGATTCAATTAGAGGGAGCATGGGCCTGAGCCTACAAGCCCTGAGCAGAGAAACAGGGGATAGGGGGACTTTGAGATGTCTCATCCACAGGGTCACCATGAGTCGAGGTCAACTCAAAGACAACAACAATAAATGGCCATTATCATTTAATTAGGCAGGCAGTCCAAGAATAGTGTTAGAGCTGGGCTGCGGATAGCCATCTGGAGGAAACCAAGATTGGAGATGAAATAAGGATCTGGAACCAAAGAGCAAAACACAAAAACATAAGACACACCAGCACTCAGGTAGACTGTATTGCCCCAGCAAGGTTCAACTGCAACAGGGAATAGAGCATGGAAGCAGGGATTACATTTTTGGACTACAGTTCCCAGAATCTTCCCAGCCAAACCCCCAGCCATTGGCTCTGTTGACTAGGGGTTTCTGGGCATTTCTGAAAAATACTAGTTTTTCAGTCTTCTGACAAGGAGCACTTGACAGGTTGCAATCTTTGGACAAGGAAACACTTCATTCTTCAGAAAGGGCATAGTGGTAATCCTCAATGTGAATGATCAGCCTAGATCTGGAAGGCTTTTTGCCAAAAATGAAAAAAAGGAGAGGAGCTTCTGCCTGTCATTCAACAATTCACCATGAAAAGGATAACTGAATGGAGTTCCTAAGTTACTTCACAAGGAGGTGCAACTAATGTGGTTCACCAAGGGGGCACTGGTCAGCAGTTTCTGACAAATGCATGATAATGAAAGATGTAATAAGCAAGAACTTGCCAAGGGTTGCCATAGGTTGGAAACTATGGGAAGGCACATGACAACAAAAAGCTTCCCTGTGTAGGAGACTGCCAGGACTAGGACTGAGTAATTGTCAGCTCAGTGTGGAGATACAGTTGGGCCTCCATGTTCACGGATTCTTTATCCATGGATTCAACCATCCACAGGTTGAAAATATTTTTTAAAAATCTATAAATTCCATAAAGCAAACCTTGACTTTGCCATTTTATATAAGAGACACCATTTGTTATGCCATTGTATTTAATGGGACTTGAGCCTCCACAGATTTTGGTATGCACGGGAGGTTTTGGAATCAAACCCCAGTGAAATCAAGGGCCTACTGTAGTAAGCCATGCTGGCGAGGGGATTTGTGGAGTTTAGGAACCAACATAGTACAGTGCTTGATTGCTGGACCAGGATTTGATTCCCCACTCGGTTGTGGAAACCCACTGAGTGAGAGTCACACACACGCAGCTCCAGAAAACCCCATGATAGGGTTGCCTTAGAGCCAGAGTGACATAGTGGTTTGAGTGTTGGCCTGTGACTCTGGAGACCAGGGTTTGATTCCCAGCTCGGCCATGAAACCCACTGGGTGACCTCAGGCAAATCACATCTCTCAGCCTCAGGGGGAGGCACTGGCAAACCTCCTCTGAACAAATCTTGCCAAGAAAACCCCATGATGGGTTTGCCATAGGGTTGCCATACATTGGACACAACTTGAAAGCATTCAACAATAGGGTTGCCTTAGGGTCATCATAAGCCAGAAACAACTTGAAAGCACACACACAAAAAAAAAAAACAGTCCCTAAAAGTAATATTTCCAAGCTTGTTTTCAGGGACATTTTATCTTTAAGAATATTAATTATAATATTATAAAAATGATAAAGGGCATGGATTTTGAGTCTGATGTCTTTTCTGTAGGTGTCCCTCAGGCATTTGGTTGGCTACTGTGGAGAGCAGATGCTAAACTAGATAAACCTTCGGTTCATTCCATATTTTCTACATTCTCAATAGTAAAAAGAGCCATGAAAGAATAATTGACGTGAGATGCTATAGTTGAATGGTAGAGAGTTATTTATTTATTAGTTTACTGTTACTTTATCATGCTGTGAATCTGCGAACCAAAGGCTGTACATAAGCACTAAAAACCTTATTTGGTTGTTTTGATTTTTAAAAAAGTTATGCTCTCTCACCATGTCATATTGTTAATAACTCCGTAGAATGTTTTAAAAAGAGGTAACATCATACACTGAGTCATAGGGTTGTTGTTGCTTCCTTGAAAAATAGGAGTTTGAAATTGAGAGAGCTGTACTGAAAATGGTCCAGCATGTAGTATGAACCAGACCAATCTGAAATCTGACATTCAGTGTCTTCCAGTAGTTTGCAAACTGTATACAGTGCTTGCCACTCTGCAGCGAAATTGTTGTGTGCTCATGGTGTTGTATATATATCCCAGTACAGTGAGACCTTGGTATCCACTGAGCCTTGGTTCCAGGAACCCCCGTGGATACCAAAATCCTTGGATGGTCAAGTCCCATTAAATGCAATGGCATAGTAAAATGGTGCCCCTTATATAAAATTGCAAAACAGATGTTTGCTTTTTGTAATTTATATATTTTTTGAACATTTTGAAGCCATGGATGGTTGAATCCATGGATATAAAAATTTGTGGATATGGAGGACCACCTGTATTTATGTTTGTGCAGGGCTGTGCAATTCTCATGGAAGATGTACACTTTATGACTATTCAGAGCCTATCCTCTATCAACCTCAGCCTATGAGGCAGTGCACCCCAACCCAGGGTCCCCAGATATCCAGCAATAGGGATTGGATTTGGTTATTGGTGGTAAATGATGTGGCAAGTGGTACACAGCAGAGAAACATTTCAGTCCTTTTGCTGATAGGGTTCAGCATCCTCTCACAATCAATGGTAGAACTGGCCACCCAAACAATTTCCAATATTGGCTGTGAGGGAATGCTGAACTTCTATGCCATGTACAACTTACCACATCATTTACCGCCAATAAAGCTTATGCTATAGCAAAAATGTTTGCACCAAAAACGCTCTTGGGGAGGTCTGCAACTACATTCAGTTCTGGCACAAGACGTGTACCACGCTGAAATCCTTGGAGGAAAGGCGGAATATATATGTAACAAACACATGCATTAAATAATTAAGTAAAGGCCTAAGCAGACTGCCAGAAATAGTGCACATTAAATTGAGGCACTGCCCTGGCTCAGTGCTAGGGAATCATGAGAATTGTATTTTTTTCTGAGACATTGAGCCTTCTCTGTCAGAGAGCTCTGGTGCCACAATAAATTACAGTTCCCATGATTCCCTAGCACTGAGCCAGGGCAGTGCCTCAATTTAATGTGCACTATTTCTGGCAGTCTGCTTAGGCCCTAAGTTTGGGAGATTGTTGGTGCTTTTTATATGTGTAGAACTGAAATAGTACTATACAGATGAGTTCAGTGTCACTGCTACCATGCCACATTCTGGAAACTGTAGCCCATTCAGTTCCCATTGCTGGATATCTTGGGAGCTAGGGTTGGCTTGCACTGCTCCATAGGTTGAGGTTGGTGGAGGATAGGCTCTGATATTTCTTTGCCACAGCAATTGAGCATCTTGTGGAAATGTTGCCATGCTAGTTTGTTGCAGCAAAAGCACTAACAAGCCTGTGTGTGTGTGTGTGTTGTGTGCCTTCAAGTCGTTTCCAATTTATGGCGACCCTAAGGTGAGCCTATCATTTGGGTTTACTGGCAAGATTTGTTCAGAGGAGGTTTGCCATTGCCTTCCCCTGAGGCTGAGAGAGTGTGACTTGCCCAAGGCCACTGAATGGATTTCATGGTTGAGCAGGGAATCAAACGCTGGTCTCTGGGGTCCTAGTCCAACGCTCAAACCACTACACTATGCTGGCTCTCAACAAGTCTTTAGGCCCCTTTATTTTGCATAAGTAAGCCCATGAAAGCTAATACCAAAATAAAGCCTGTTACTTTTGATGGTGCTACAGAGGCCTTTGTTGTTTGTGAGATACTTAGAATATCTCACAAGCAACAGCTTAGTCAGTTTAGTCAGGATGAAGGACTGGTGGAACAAAGCCTGCAAAAGGCACATTACATGAGGCTGGGAATAAGATGGGAACTGATGATATTAAAGGGTTATTACTTCATATTGACAGAAAGATGGTCACTGTTTATAGTTTAGACTTCACCACATTGTGTTACTGCAAACAGTTTATAATGCACTAACACAATGTGGTGAAGTCTAACCACAATAGAGAAGTCAGGATGAAACATTTACTCAAGTTGTCATGTTTCTACTTAAGTCATCATTGTTACTATTATCATTTCCACACCATGCTACAATCTTTGTATTAGCTGTCAATTTTTGAAGTCACTGCAACTTCCGTTTTACAAACTCTGATAGGAATGGTAATACATGTTGAATCTCTCTTATCCACAGTTCTGAAATTTGAAATATCCCAAAATCCAAAATTGTCTGCATGGATGGCTGAGATAGTGACACCTTTGCTTTCTGGTGGTTCACTGTACACAAGCTTTGTTTCATGCACAACATTATTTAAAAATATTGTATATAAAATTACCTTCAGGCTATGTGCATCAAGTATATATGAAACATAAATTAATTTCATGTTTAGACTTGGGTCCCATCTCCAAGATATCTCATTATGTATATGCCAATATTCCAAATTCTGAAAAACTCCACACTCCCAAATACTTCTGGTTCCAAGCATTTCAGATAAGGGAGACTCAACTTCTACTCTAAATTCAAGGTTGGCATCAGTGCTAGTGTCATTCCAGTGTCAAGTTAATTCATGGCTTTTTATTAAAATCTTTGGGGCTAAATGATTTTAGCCAACGTGCTATGGGCAGCATGATTTAAAATGCTTTTAGTTGGTTTCAAATTATCTGGGTAATAGCAATAAATGAGATAATATATTTTGGGTCTTTTAAAATTCTCGTTATTGCCATTTATTGTCCTAAATTAATTTTATTGTACAGCGCCTTGGGATCCTCAGACATGGAGTGGGATGTAAATGTTTTAATAAATAATAAACAATATGACGGACAGAAGAATGAGGTGATAAGAGTGTGGAAAGGGCAAACTAAGACTCCTGGGAATTGTAATCAGAAGAATCAGAAAGGCTACACAATGTCCATCTCTGTCCTAACATGAGCATCACAATGCTTAATCTTCACTGGGTATCTGTCATGTGTTAAGGCTATGCAGTGTAAAAGTTATTCCATATACCGATGCATTGGTAGGATGGAGTCAGAGAGATGGTACCTCTTCCTCTTCACTATGGTGGCAGAGATTCGTCCCATTCATATGACTTAAAATGCAAGCCTGAAGCTCCTGTGTTAAGGTTTTTCATCTCTTGTCTTTTTTGTACACATCATTTACTGCACAAAACCGACCCTTTCCATGGAGCAAGCTTAGGTACATTTAAGTAAAATGTAATTTTTGTAATTCATTTATTTACCATTCCACTTCTCTCCCCATCCTGCTGGTCTCCAACAACTCCCTGTGGAACTGACTTCCTCCATTTACATCCATCTCAGTTTTACGTTGCAAGTTCAGGAATGCAGCCCTGACATAAGTTGAGACTCACCTGTATAAGACACCCTGTCAAAAGCCATTTCATTTTGTCATAATTGAAAAGTCTTGCCGGCAGAAGAAAAACAAGGAGAGGGGGATTTTTTTTTAATCTTTGCAGAGTCTAGAAACAGCCACCAAGAAAGCCCTGTCTCACATCCCGTCCAGATGTGTCTGTGAGGATAGTGGAACCACAAAAAGGATCTTTCCCAAAGAAATCATATGGGCAAATACGGCCCATTACTAGGAAAAAGAGGAGAAAAAAGAGGAGAGGGAGCAGCAGCAATAATACATTGTTGCTACAACTGTTGTTTATTGCTTGGAAGGGTCTTTTTTCCCCATCTATAACTCACAGAATCCCCCAGCCAACTTTGCCACCATAGTCCAAAACAATGTTTTTAAACATGTCATGGTTGTTGGGCAATTGATATTGTTAATGGACAAATCATTTTCTCTTGCATATACGTTTGCTCAGACTTTCTGCACAATTTAGGAGAAATGCAAATAGGAAGCAGTATTGTTGCCTTGAGATATTACAGCAGTGGCAATGACTTTCTTTCCTTTAAGTCTCAGGCAAGCCGAGCAGTCAAGTGCTTCATCATGTGCCATTTACTCATCCAGTTTTGCTTAATGTAAACATGCAATTTTGCAAATTCTTGGAATCAAACTTGCATTCTGGGGGCACAGAAAACATTTCAAAGCCTATTTCCAAGAATTTGTACTGAGAATTTGTAATGGTGTTGTGGTCAAGCACTTTTATAATGTAATGGTCAAGCATTTTTACTACAGTTGTTATTTGCCATCAAGTTGATTTCGGCTTATGATGATCCTGTGAAGGAGAGATCTTTGAGAGCCTGATCATCATCTGCCCAGCTCAAGGCTTACAAACTCAAGTCCATGGCTTTCTTTATTGAGTCCATTCACCTATAGCATGGTCTCCCTCTTTTCCTACTGCTTATCA